AACATCATGAGTTGAGTTAATACTGTGATAAAAACTGTTAAAAATTGCCTCTAAGGACTCGTTCGAATATTACGATCCCCAAATGGAGCACCGAATTAGACGCTAGTACAAGTCTCAACCTGCATGTGTGAATAATCTTATCGGTATCTGACCAGCGTTTTGTTTCATGAAAGATGTTAAAAGAACGCGCTAATATTTTGTGGTCACTACCTGGAAATTTATGTCCCACATGTACTGTAGATGGTGTTATGTGGTTCATGAAATTAAGGGTTAGGAAATTTTTGGGTCTAGTGGGTGATTCTGTGTGTTGTGTCACCCTCCTGTGATGATGGAATTCAGAAGATTATCATACCTTTGAGGCCGTCGGAGTGAAAGCCATAACACTTCTGGTATGTTGAAATCACCTCCAGTAATTTTGTAGATGAAAGGAAATTTGGCTGACACATTAAAAATGTTGCTGAGTATATTATCCTACTCCCCGCTGGATGAAAGAGGTCACTTCACACTACCCATAAGTATAGGTTTAGTTCTGACAACTTTTATTTTGAATCAAATCGAATCATAGAGTTGTCACAGAATTGGGTTACGAAACTGGGTTGCACACATGGATTGTACACAGTAAATTAATGTGTCACCCCCACGGACTGTCTCTCTGCCCCTACCAATTTGCTGCAAAAAACAAAATGCTCAGATATAGTTGTTTCAGCAGGCAACTTCGGTACCTAAGTAGGGAAGCTATGCCACACTGGAAGGTATATGAGTACTACCCACGGCGCTTGGTGGTATCTAAATTTCTAGACTCAATAATCATGCGTAGACAGAACAGTTCTCGGGAGGAAAAAACACGACAGAACCAGGCAGGCTTTACACCAGGAAGAGGGTGTACTTATTATATCTTCACCCTTCGAAAGATTCTGGAACGGAACATAAGCACACTTACCGGCGTTCAACACTTGTCAAATTTTTTGACCTAAAGGCGTTATTCGATTCTGTCGGCCGAAAGGTACTCTGGCGATGTTTGGCTGTAAAAGGAATGCCGAGAAAATACATCGCACCGATCAAGGCACTCTGATCGGACTCATCCAGTCAGCCAGGTGAGTTGTCATCTGAAGTGGTGACAACTAGTGGAGTCCGTCAAGGATGTCCACTATCCCAATTTCTATTTAATTTCATCACAGATGTACAAATGGAATTAACCCTAACTGCTGACTTCACCGACTGAAGGATTGACTTGTCACCATCAGGGAATAATCTCGTTGACTTAGAATATGCAGATGATATCGTACTTTTAGGCGAAGACGCTGACAAAATGCAGTCTTCTGAACACATTTAGCAGCAGAAATCTTCGAATGTTTTGCGTGCGATTCGCTCCTGTCAGTCAAATGTAAGATGATGCTACAGGACTGGAATACATTGACTCCTAGCTTGGAAATAGGGAGTGAGGTGGTACAGCGTGTTGACCACTCCACTAATTTGGGAAGTTGCATCAGCCAGTCCCAACGGGTTGATCGCTGACGAAATCTCAGCACGGATACAGAAAACGTCTGTGGAACATGCCAACTTACGCTATCTCTGGCTTAGTAGGCGTAATAATAATAATATATTCCCACTTTTTGTACGTGAGGGACGCCAGTTTTCAGGCATCATCAATATGATAAATTACATATACGATTAGTAGGCGTATTTAATAATAATATGATAAAATACATACTTATTCCTACCTATGTAGCACACACCATTTTAATAGGCATGGATAAGTATTATTTAAATTACATGAATTTGATTTATGGTTAAATTACATCGTCACTGTATTTTTGACGTTAGTTTTTGGGTACAATCTGATAACTAGTCATTCAATGGAGCACGTCAAGAAATGTAGAAATATTGTCTTTGCATTAATAAAAAACCTGAGTATGTGTTGGATAGATTACAAATATTTGGGAAAAAATAAAGCTTGAAATCATTTCCCTCATATAACAACGAAATGGATCTTATGATAATATTTTCGCACTTTATGTACATGAGGGACTCCAGTTGACAGGCATCATCAATATGATAATAATGTAATCATGGAGTAAGCATGTTCGCAATTTTTCACTGACACAAGATATATATATATTAAAAGGGAAGGTAATGGAATAATGACAGTAAGCATACTTTGCATCAGCTAAAACAATTTATATGATATAATCTTAGGCACCATTAGTGTTTGAATTTGCCGACAATGCGCGTAACAACTGAGTGATGCGTTACATTTGGTCGATACGGTGGGCTACTCAAAAAGTATAAAAATGGCTTAAAAACGTTAGTTAGTTTACCGTAAACGATGTTTTAAGCAATATAATCTGCAAGAGGCCCACCACAGCAGTTATTGCCCAGTTAAACATGCTACATCGATTGAAATGGTTAGGATACGTGTTACGGATGGTTAGCCATTGCCTTCCTCCATGTGCAATGTTAGCTGACATAGGAAAGATACGGCTGGAAAAGAGATAGTGGTGGTCAAACCAGAACTTGACATCAGCTAATGAAATTCACAACAGTTAGTTTGAGCTAGACACGTAGGAAGATGTAGACTTCCTGACTGGTTGGGGTTCTCACGATGGTAAGAACCAGTGAAGGCTGGAGGCAATCGTTCATAAGGCTCAAAATCGCTGTCAGCGACTGAAGTTGATGCAGTTGCTTGTGATGATTTGTCATATCCAATAAGACTCTATTGTTCCTCCGTATTGCAATTCGTTTTGCCTCTTCCAATTATTATCTCTCCTTTGAACCTCTGCCTACTTTCTTCCCTCGCTTTGTGTGCTACATGGAGGGAGAGTGGCAAGTCGAACTGTTGCACATTTCTGCAAAGTCCTACGTTGAAGCCAGTCAGTCAGTCATTCCAATGTTCGTCAACATTGACAGCAATTCAGAAGCTCCAGTTTCCCATTAGACATTTCTGCAGATTCCTTTATACTGTGTTCTGTGGTGCTGCTACAGTCATTGCACCAGTATGCGAATAGCTTGCAGCAACAACTGTATCCTTCAGGGGTCAGGCTGGTGTATTAAAACTGGAACCACCGATTACAGTTGATTCGTTGCACACTATCCACTATTGTACAGCGTCACACTAGCCTCTTACCACGGATTTTCATTACTAGAACGTAAATGTACTACCAGAAAAATATGGCAGGTATGATCTTAAGAAACGAAACTAAGGTTTATAAAGATTACGAAAACTGGAAAACTATGGTATATTAACTATAAACTTTCAACCCTGAAAAAGTGCAAAGTAGTGAAATTACGCACCTGTAGACTGCAGAATGCAAATTACACCTTTTGCGAAGAAAGCTTGTCCTGCACAACGTCAAAGCGTGCCCAGGGCTGGTTCTGACGAAGAAAATGGACACCAGCGTAAATTACGTGTGGGATGTAGCGAAGGCATATGCAGCCATGCACTTCACGCATAGACAGTTAGGTGCACTCACTCCTGAGCTCTTCCTAAGGTTGTACAAAACACATGTTAGACCACACCTTGAAGTGCATAATATCATTGCACCCCCACTGGTTAGAAGAGACGCAAACTTCTTGGAAAGAGTTCAAGGACGGGCACCAAAAGGAGTGTTTGCTCGCCGAAATAAACCGTCTGATGGAAGACTGAATAAATTAGGCCTATCCACGCCTAACTACCGTCGGCTTAGGGGGATTTGATTACTTCCCACAAGATAACAAATGACCAGAATCACTCAAACAAAGGTGTTCTGTCATTGGGTAGATATGGGCTTCCTCGGGGAAACCCCGATGGCAAGGACTCTGGTGCGCCCCCATTTTTTACAGCTAGTTTGCCGTCCCTGGAACTCCCTACTGGCAGATGTAGCTACGGCACCGTCTGTGGACATCTTTAAGTGAAAGCTGGACAGTCATGCAGTGACGGAAGGACTGCGTCCGTCACACCATTCAGGGGTAGACAGCTAAATTCTTCATTTTACTTCTCTGCATTCTCGCCCATCTCACTCTTCTAGCTACTCCAACTATTCCACACTTACACTTATTATTATTGATGTTACATATTTATTTACATATGTATATACATATATCAACTTCAAATTTAATTAGCAGTCTGTTTTTACTTTTTCTTTATTTCATTTTCTGCCTTTTAGTCTGAATAACCTACACTAATTATATCTATTATCATTATCTCTTTTCTTTTGACAACGATATCGGAGGTCTAACTGGTGAAAGGATCAACTCCATTCACATTAGCAACAGTCTTAACACACTGCATACTTCAAACAATAAATAATTAATCCCAGCACTACTCCTCTTGGAGTCAACCGAAGCTACAACAGTCGAGTGGCCGGGAGAACTACACAGAAGTTTACCGAAGACCAGGAACCTCAACCTCACAATCAAAAAGCGAGCACAACGAAATCAAGTTGGTTTTACTAGCTCATAAAAACGATATTGGATAAACTAGTAAAAGGACGAACTTTCTACGAATAAGTCAACTTGAAACCTATAAAACACTGACTTAAATGGAATAACGTGGTTTAGAGTTGGACCGTAAGTATTTTCTGCGTTAAACACAACTAAAGCTGGATTTAAACAAGAGTGTGCTGAAATTCCCACCATTTTCAAAATTCGCGCGCTATCTCTTCTTGCTTCTGCAAGGTCGTGACGTCTCAGAAGATCAGACAGAAGAGTAAGAAGACCAAGAAGACTGTTGTGAAATACTTGTTATTACACTGATTTATAGACTCCTGAAGCCGCTTTCCTGGAGAAGCGGTACCTTCGCCCTTTGCTGATCTACTCAAGAAGGGACCAGAAAGAAGGCGATACCACCAAGGAGAGGATCTAAACAGCCTCAAAGCTCCTTATCTTCAGCGAAAAATCTGTGTCATCTAAGTGTAATATACGCCTAGGAAGGCGCCTAAAGCGACCGTGAAGGTCACCTACAAAGGTTACTGCTCAGATGAGTGGTGATCTTACCCGTGGTGGTCATTCCCGCTCACTTTCCTTTTCTGACCAAGATTCATACGAAAGTAAGTCTTCCAGTATTGGTTCTAACTCTCTGTTATATTTGTGTGTAAAAAATGTATCGAAATAACAAGAACTTTTAGCATATTGCCTAACTTTCAAACGGTATTAGGAAATATTATCCGTTCTTTGACAAAGTCAAGGAGTAGTAATGCAAGAAGAACGAACGCACTAACGGCCTTCAAGTGACCAATAGTTTTAACCCGGCCAATTCGCGCGAAAAAAGAGAAACAGAGAGATGTATCCATAATAGAGAATGACAAATCGAAAGAAGGATATCCCATTTAGTCTGATGGTTCTTTCCCAGCACTTCTTTCCGTACATGGTTGATTTCTCGTGACATCGTTTCATTTCCTTGATCTGATTACGCGCTAGAAGGTCATTGGCGAGAGGTCACTCCGTGGATCACTATTCTTCAAGTTGGCCTCAGTTGTCTAGTAAAATATATTAAATCTTCTTCGCAGTTATTGAGAAGTGTCACATTAATCTTAAGCACAGTCATGCTGAGGGATGCGTGTTTGAGACAAGAAGTGCGTAAGTATATACTATAGTGTAATGGATGTCCGTTACATTTTGTCTTGAGAATCATATACTGTATAGCATGTCTTAGTTGCGCAACTCCTTTTCCATTGCATCTAAACGCATAATTTTTTTGATATTTTGTTTAAACTTCAACTCTCCGTGTATCCAATATCGTTTTTACGAGCTAGTATAAACCAATTTGATTTCTTTGTGCTCGCCTCTTGATTGTGAGGTAGAGGTTCCTGATCTTCGGTAAACGTCTGTGTAGCTCGTCCCGCCACTCAACTGTCGTAGCTTCGGTTGACTCCAAGAGGAGTAGTGCTGGGATTAATTATTTATTGTTTGAAGTATGCAGTGTGTTAAGACTATTACTACTGTGAATGGAGTTGATCCTTTCACCAGTTAGTCCTTCGGTATCGTCGTCAATGGAAAAGAGATAATAATAATAATAGATATAATTAGTAAAGGTATTCAGACTAACAGACAGAGAAAGGATAAGCAAACGTAACAACAGTCAGTCAACCGGTATACATATATATATATATATATATATATATACCAGTAATAATGATAATAATAATAATAGGTGTAGTTAAAGCTGTCAGGAGAACAAGACTGAAGGGAATGTGAAGAAGTAAAACGATCAGTTTAATTGCCTACCTTTGAATGGTATATGCGATTTTAAGGGGATAGGCCATTTGGATGCAGTCCTTGTGTCGCTGCATGGTTGTCCAGCCTTCGCTTAAAGGCGTCCACAGATGGTGCCATAGCTACATCTGCCGGTAAGGAAGATGTATAAGTTATACATAATTGTAATTGCTGAGTACTCATTATAATAAAGGCATTTTTGTATTTCCCAGTGAATGAAAAATAAAACGATATTGTTTTTACTGGCCAGGTCAAATTCTGTTTTAGTCCATCATTCCTATTCAGACAATTTGGATTCTACTTGATATGAAGTGCTTCCGATATTAGACATTCTTTGTGATTTCTGAAATTTTTCTGGATTATTTTAATATTGCCAAAATCAATTTTGTAGCCCGATTCTACTATATCGTGTAAACCACTTATAGATGATGATTTGTCAAGCGTTCCTAGTTCGCAACTTGATTTCTCAGTGGTTGGACAGATGCTCTACGGTTTTCATTTCTTCTGATCTTGATTCCTCTCGGACAAGGTTTGTCCAATGTATATCGCATCACATACAATCCAGCCATTTTATTTTATAGACACAATTAGATAGAGAATTTTTAGGGATTTGGTCTTTTATACGGACAAGGTTGCTTTGTACTGTGTCTGATGTTCTGAAGAAACTCTGATGTTGTGCTTACTGAGTATTCTTCCAGTGTCGTCTGACTTTTCTGACCCATCTATATGGAATGACAACTATTGAGGCCCATTTCTTCGGAAATTTTTTCAAACTGTTAAAAGTGAACTTGGTTTGGACATATATAACGTAATTCCTGAGCACTGTTTATTAATTATGGATTCTGTAGTTAACTGACATTGCAGCACCCTAGTCGGACAGAAATGAGTGAGTAATGGGCATAGCCAGTAGTAAGAAGGGTGGATGAATTCTGATCCCATGACCTGGTTTTTTCTATTTTGATTTAAATTTCACCATTATTTTCCCATTCTAACAATTAATGAAGCAATATTTTCCCATTTTAACCACTATATAACAAGGATTTGCCAATTATATTATCATGGTATCAATCCATGAAATCCTTGACAGTTAAACTGAGTCAGGTAGGGAGATGCAGACTTCCAGGTTGGGGCCCGCCCTCGGGACTCTAAGAATCAATGACTGGAGACAGACAATAGGTGACATGGCTCAAAATCGTTGTCAATGGCTTACGCAGATGTATTCAGTCTCTGTAATCTTTCATATCCCTTTCTACCATTACTCATTCTGTTTCACTCTTATACTTGTCAAAGCTCTATTCATTCTCTTCACGCATCCTCTTGTCTACGCTTGTGTGCTATTTGGAACGTGGCAACTGGAACTGCTGCACTTCGGTGCCAAGTTCTATGTTGAATCCAGACCAGATTATGTTATCATTCTTACCATGTACCCAAAATTTGTCCATTTACAAAATTAGCTATACATTTTTCACCCATTTTTGTCTGATTGAGACTTTTTCAAGTACGTTAAAATAAATTTCCCTGTAGATAAACTCAGTTGAAAAATTTTTTAAGGTTATACACAGTTAGAGAGAAACCAACAAAATGAATAATGGTACTTTCTTAATCTGCATAAACTACTGTTCTTGCTCTATCATTTGTACTTTTGTGCACTTGTATATTTTCTGACTGAATTCGACTCGTGGCGAAGTTAAAAAGTCATAGCCAAAGTCAAGGTCTGTCAGATTTAGGGGACTCTATGTAAGGTCATTCCAAATTTAGTCATGTCTGCCTTTTTAGAATTCGGTGACGGAAGATACAGTACTCTACTTATTCCTTAGGTACTTTTTCTGTAAATCTATCCTGTTAGGTATGGTTATAGTTTTTCAGATTAAGGTTAGTGTCTACGGTTAAAGTTAGGACTAGGGGTTAGGTTGACGGTTAGAATTAGGAGTAAGTTAAAGAACACTCTCATAAATATCTATGGGTCTCAAAGTTAAGAACACAATATTCAGCGATGGTAGAGACTCTCGCTAACAACGAATTTATTATCAAGCCGTACAGTCGTATATACACACATATGGCTTTTAAGAAATTATATCCGGTGAGGGAATTAGATCAAAGGTGTGAATACATGGAATAATAATAGAAGTAGTATGAAATGCAATTAAAATATTTGTGATTATAATCATAGTTAGGTGTCAAGTAGCAAAACAATCAATGTCATATATAGAATAATACATAAGATAGATGTAGAGATTTTATTGGGATGGGGTGCATAATTATAAGATTAGTAGGCGAATATAAAATGGTGTGAAATTTGATAAGATAGAATTCAATATTGTAAAAATTGAAAAAAGTAATAATTTTGGATTTAGAATGACAAGTGGGACAAGCGGAAACAATTCAGAGTGAGAGTGGTAATAATAATCGTGGTAACGAGGGTCGGGTACATAGAATAACTAAATAGACAAAATAAATAACTAAATATCTATCCGTCTACGGCTAAAGCAGAAGTAGGGATTGTACACACCTCTTTTGTACACAAAGGTCTGGCTTAAGTTCATGAATGGCCAGAGCTTCCGCTGTCTTTAGAAGTCTATAGTGAAGATAACGCATCCGGCAAGGCAGCATGGATTCGATAGATGATCTTAAAATCATGTTCAGGGTTAGTAGAGTGACAGGAGTCGATCAGGTTTTCTAGAAAAGAGCTTTGCACACTCTTCCTTTCTCTCTTGTAAAACCATGCAGCTGGAATATGTTCTCGTATACGTGTGGAAAGCGTCCTGTGAAAGTACCATAACCTACAGTCACCTGGATGAATACATCTATCACGCATGGTATCATTTCTGCATAGGTTGTTCATGTAGTGACTGGGAGATATAAGCGACAATTACCCAGCATAATATCATTTTTGCAACGTTTTTCAACGATTATGTGACTTGAACAAAGCAAGAACAACAATTGTACCAGGATAATATGAGCTCATCTTTTATTATTTCGAGGATTCTTCTCAACTGGTTACAACCTGAACGATGAAAAATATGAATTACATTACATTAAAGATTTGAACATACTTTTCCACGATCACAAGGAGTAATTGGTAGGAAGTAAAAGTAACATTAGTCCGGAATGACTTAACTAATTGAGAGTTACAAACACTGACTATTTATAGAATAATTCAAATGAACTGTGATCAATATTTGAGTTTATAAATATTTATAGAATAAACAGGCAGTTAGGCTTTGAAACAAAAACAGAGTTGCATATATATATATATATATATATGTATAGAAACAGTAGAGAAAAAGCCTATCTTTCTGCAGCTTGCATTCAAAGGTGATGATACTGCCAGTAGAATAAGATGCAGACTGAACGCTGCCCTGAAAAGAATATATCCAGCCGCCAAGCTTGTATGTGTTTATCAAACAACTAGTTGTTTGAGACAATCAAAAGTGGACAGGTACCCACCTCATATTACCTCCAATTGTGTCTACCAATTTACATGTACGTGCCAAAGCACATACATGGGAAGAGCAGAGAGAAGGGTTTTTGTCCGCATTTCTGAACACATACCAAAGAACCTGAGACTGAAAGATCCACAAGTATTAAACAGTGCAATTCCGCATCATCTATTAGACACTGGTCATAATGTAGACAACTTGAAGTCATTCAAAATAATCAACAAGCAAAAGAAACCTAACTTGCTACGCTTTGCTGAAGCAATTGCTATTAGACGACTTAAACCAAATCTATGTACGCAGAAAGAGACAGTGGTGAATCTTGCACTGCCCTGGTGACAAAAAAATATACAACTTGTATGAGTCACCTTTTTCTTATTTAGAAAACTCTACTCTCTCATCTAAGCATGACTCACCCTTTCTTGTTCGTTTTTTCTTCCTTTTTCTTCTGTTGGCTATTAGATAAAGCATTTTCTTTGGTTACGTAATCTACCTTTTTGTTGTGCTCTGTCTAGCTAAAGCTTGTTTCTATACACACACATTTATATATGCAACTCTGTTTTTGTTTCAAAGCCTAACTGCCTGTTTATTCTATAAATATTTATAAACTCAAATATTGATCACAGTTCATTTGAATTATTCTATAAATAGTCAGTGTTTGTAACTGTCAATTAGTTAAATCATTCCGGACTAATGTTACTTTTACTTCCTACCAATTACTCCTTGTGATCGTGGAAAAGTATGTTCAAATCTTTAATGTAATGTAATTCATGTTTTTTTTATCGTTCAGGATGTAACCAGTTGAGAAGAATCCTCGAAATAATAAAAGATGAGCTCATATTATCCTGGTACAATTGTTGTTCTTGCTTTGTTCAAGTTTATTAATGGGAAGAATTGCATGAAGATTATATGACTTTTTGCATCTGAACTATGATTGGTTGCTCAAGATCACTGCAACTTTGGCTATGGTAGTTTAACTTTGCCCAACTCGTTATATAACTTTGGTGCATTGGCTTAAGCACTTCTTTAAGTACTTGGGCTGAAATCCTCCTCTATCTGTTGAAACCTAAGTAACAAGCGGGTAGTATCATTGTCATTTAAACGGTCAGGGTGTCTCATGGCCTGAAGGATGTTACTTATTCGATAGGTTACACCAACTAGGCATAATTTTATCACTACAAGAATCTACACACATGGCTTGTAGCCAGTTAATCCTCTTCTGGCTAGGATAGATTGAGTATTCTTCGCAATAACGTACTTCATCTTACCGTATCTGGTAAATATGTCGATTGTAATTATAAAATTTAGGCGACGGAGTTCAGTTAATTAGAAATTCCTGTCTATACAACAAAGCAGCCAGCTATTATTGCGATTTTCATTTAAGGAAGAGTATATTTGTGCGTAAGTGTAGTAGATTACTGATTAGGGCTATTAACCTGTCACTTGAGATTACTAAGATTGAAAGAGTTAAGGGTGAATTGACTAATATGTGGTATCGTTCCACAAAATTATTGACTAATTGTTGGAGCGACTTAAAAATACCACAGGTCTAAAGTGATGTTGAATGAGATAGGCTTATAAATAATTCAGTGCTGTCTTAGTTTACCTTGATATGATCCCCTCCCTCTTGATTGTGTCATCATTTTCAATCACTTGTTTCATATTTTTATTGTTATTATTGGTGTAGAGTTGTTTAGAATATATATATCTCGTCATTTGGGCACTTCGTTCTAAAATTGACATCAACCTTATATGTCCGGGGATGGGTAGTCTTCAGTCTTCCTCTTGAGATACTCTCATATGGCCACGCGTTGTTAGTCTTTGCGAGATAAGTTCTTCTCACTGTCTTCACTCAGCAAAGGTGTGCTTCACAACATCTGGCGGACATGCTAACCTACTTTAAAGAATTGAAAAACCCTGATTCCAAACCTATAGTATCTCTATGGGCTCTCGAAACCTGAAAGGATGGCTTAGCGCATAAACTTGTTTTAATCCTGACACTGCTTGACTGCCTTATGGATCAGATTTCAAGTCATAGGCTCGGGAGGGGGAGGGTTACCGCTTAAGACAACCACCTGCTTCGATCTGGACACCCGGGCAGTATCCCAACTCTTCCAGAAGCTACCAGATTTTGTGTGGTGCATCTGTCACTCTCCACAATATACAAGGTTTGTGTTTTAACAAATAAATAAATGACAACGTGCGCCGGTGGCACAGCGTTAGAATGTTTGCCAACCACAGCTCGTATGGTCCGGGGTTCATTCCCCGGCCACAGACGCACTCCCTTACCTCGCTAAGCCTATAATTAGGACTGGTAAAGAAGGAAGGTTGGGCTGGGCATGAGGCTAGTAACGCCACTGCTACCGAAACTTCAAGCCATTTAGCTTGAAGCCCTAAGTTCCATTGGGGCATGGGGGGACGTAAAGGAATAAAAAAATGTTTACCGGCAGTTGTTTACAGCGTACAATGTTATGAAGAAGAAAAACAAAGTTGCCTAGTGTGATGTGAAAAGAGAAAAAACAACAACAATGTCCCCAATTGTTTTATTTCGTTTTTTCTCCCTCTCTTTTTTCCCATAGATGCAGTGATTCGAGTTGGTGAAAATTTTCAAGTAGATCTCCCCTTGTACGAAGGTGAACCGCCACAGTCAATACTTTCAAGTGAATCCGATCATGAAGTAGTTCTGTGGCGTCCAATAGCTGAAAGTTTAAATGATCAGTTGGAGAAATTCATAAACACAGCCATTGAAAAATATGCGTAAGTGGGGATCCGTTTTCATTGATTGATACAAAATGAACATAGTTATTATATTATTGTTTCCTTTAATTCCTAGAGGAACATAGGGCTTCAGCCATACGTCTCCATTGCGTTCGGTTCTCTGCTAGAGTTTTCACCTGGCTCCAAGTCTGCCCATACGCTTTCAATTCTTCTTCACATGATCTCCTCCAGGTCACCCTTGCACTGACGACCAACTCGCCGCTTCCCTTTCGGGTTCCACTCGAGGGCTTGTCTAGTGATGTCACTTGCTGGTTTCCTCAGAGTGTGGCCAATCCATCTCCATTTCTTCCTGCCTATTTGTTTCACAATCGGTTCCTGGTTGGTTCGCTCCCAGAGATCTTTGTTGCTGATCCTTTCCGGCCATCTGATCTTGAGTATTGAGCTAAGACATCTGTTAATGAAGGTCTGTAGCTTGTTTGAGGTGCTCTTTGTGACACGCCAAGTCTCTAATCCGTATAGTAGTACTGACTTCACATTGGAGTTGAAAATCCGGATCTTATTTTTGACGCTGAATGCTGTTGACCTCCACACAGACTTGAGAGTAGTGAAAGCTTGCCTTGCTTTCCCGATCCTTGCTTTGATATCCTCGTCAGTTCCGCCTGTAGTTGAAACAATACTTCCAAGGTAGGTAAAGGAGGTTGTTTCTTTCAGGTTTCTTCCATTTATGCTGATTGCTGTCTGCTGTTGTTGCTGTGGCTGTTGGTGTTGGCCAGGAATCTTCATCACATAGTAGATAGTTTTTCTCTTTCTTCAAAATTAGTAAATGGTACACTGTTCTCTTGAACTTGCTTGACTAACTAACTGGCTGACTGACTGATTGACTGGTTTCCACCACTGTAGAACTTTGCACAAATGTCCAGCAGTTCAAGTCGTCACACTCCCTCCTTGTAGTGCATAAAGCAAGAAAAAAGAGTAGAGTGATTCATTGAAAGGGAGACAATAAACAGAAGTGTGATTGAGGGAAAAAGAATAGTCATATGGAAGAACAGTAGAGTTTTATTGGATATGACAAGTCATCACAAAGAGTGATTGCATCTACTCCAGCGATTGACAACGATTTTGAGCCAGCTGTCATTGGTTCTTGCCCTCCCAAGGATCCCAACTAGTCAAGAAGTCTACACCTGCCTACCTGGTTGACTTAAACTGACTGTTATGCACTTCATTGACTGATGAAGCGACTAGGTCTTTTCCAACCTGATCCTATGTCAGCTGATATTGACTGTCGAAGAAAGCAGTGTTTGGGAATTCATGAGTAACACATGTGCTAACTATCACCTCAGTTGATGTAACTTTACAACCTCGTCGATTAATTTTCCCTCTTTGCCTAACACTTGACCAGTACCTAGCCTCAATATTACTCACCTTATTATATCATCTAACATGGGAAATACAACGCAGACACCTATGGTTAAAAACAGTTAGCCAGGCCTTTCTTGTCTTCTACTTTGAATGACCATGTCTGACTGAGAGACATAAAGGAGGGTGCGGCGAACTTATTACCACTATTATTGTTTCCTTTAATTCCTAGAGGAACATATGGCTTCAGCCTCACGTCTCCTTTGCGTTCGGTTCTCTACCAACGTTTTCACCTGACTCCACGTCTGCCCACATGCTTTCATCCCGTCTTCACATGACCTCCTCCATGTCACCCGCGCACTGACGGTCAACTCGCCGCTTCCATTTCGGGTTCCACTCTAGCGATGGCCTGCTGGCTGGCTGGCTGGCTGGATTCAACATAGAACTTGGCACCGAAGTGCAGCAGTTCCAGTTGCCACGTTCCAAATAGCACACAAACGTAGACAAGAAGATGAGTGAAGAGAATCAATAGAGTTTTGACAAGTATAAGAGTGAAACAGAATGCGTAATGGTAGAAAGGAAAATGAAAGATTACAGAGACTGAATACATCTGCGTAAGCCATTGACAACGATTTTGAGCCATGTCACCTATTGTCTCCAGCCATTGCTTCTTAGAGTCCCGAGAGCCCTAACCCGGAAGTCTGCATCTCCCTAACTGACTCAGTTTAACTGTCAAGGACTTCATGGATTGATTGATGCGATGTTTTTGTTTGGCCACCACTTACTCTTTTCCAACCTGCACCTATATCAGGTAGTAATGCCCGTCGGGGTGGGGGAGGCGATTGTTAGGCGTGCGGAGCATGTGACCTAGCCATCTCAATCTATGTAACTTTATAGCCTTGTCGATTGATTTTCTCTCTTTGCCCAACCAACACTCTACGCCTAACGTCAACATGACTCACCTTATTATGCCACCTAACGTGAGAAAAAGATCATAGACATCTATGATCAAAAACAGTCAGGCTTTTCATGTCTTCAACTTGTATTGGCCATGTTTCAGAGCCATAGAGAATTATCTATGCCTGAGATGACGTATGCTGGCAAATACTACACGAGCGTTTTTGTATCCGTTCTGAGACTGCTTAGTGCTTTAACCATTTCATCATTGGTGTAAGATACTTTTGTGTATTTCCCTCTAATATTCCGCCTTCTTCTCCTTGTTTTGTTTTGTCTTCAAGGTATACAGAAGAACAAGCTCTTGCCTTTCTTACCTGGCATCAGATTGATTTTGATGAGGCTGTCGAGGATCTTTGCAATTTTACGCCAGTTCAATATGAATGGTCCAATTTAGAACGTAAAATATTCTTCACCTATGTCGCTTATCATAATAAACAATTTCATAAAATTAAGAAACATGTAAGTCTTCTGTTTTTTATTTTTGTTTAGTTAGTTAGTTAATTAGTTTGAAAATTGTCTTGTCTCCCTTCTCTTCCTTTACAGCCTTCAACACTAGTAGTGCTCTTTTATTCTCAAATGTGTTTGTGTACAGGTATTTAGTTGATTTCAAGTGAGATGACGAACTGACATGATGAATTAGGCGATTTTTAAGAACTACCAGGGTGTAGTGCTGTGGACACAGCTGTTTTCGGTCCTACTGTAAAGAAGAAAAGACCAAGGAGGCTGAAAAATATACCATATTCTCAACCGGCCATTTGCACATCATTTACACATCCTTGACGAATTGGTCGAATATCATCACATTCGATAGCTTCTTGGATTCTGCATCATATGGCAACATTCTTCTCATTGTTCTCTTCTTTGATTGCTCTTTCCAGTGTGCCAAACATATTGTTACTTCGTTTCTGATATACTACTTATATCGGATTATAAGTAGCACTCACCACACTACTACTACTACTACTACTGTAACAACAGAAGACAAGGGTCAGGCAACAGATCTTCAATCTAGGGGCTTTGTTCGTTTGTCTTGCTGTCTAGAATCTCGGCGTTCGCAGATGTTCACCTGTTTCTCTTTGTTTACCATTGCGATTGTGTCTGCGTAACTCCATCATCTGAACGTGACCATATGTGGTCATTCCCACTTTGGAAACTGTTTGCCTGATCCTGTCGCATATTCGTCGGTATTTCGCCTCACACTTTCATATGCTGCTTTCTCCTGACCTCCCAGCAGCGTCCCAAGTAGCAGCCTCATCGCTGACAGATCTTGAACGCCACTCAACTGTGAAGAAGCCTCGAAGTCCTGCCCGAAGATCCATATGTCTCCATCAAAAACTGCAGGGCATAGGTTTTCCATTTGTCGGTAGGCAGCGACACCAAATGTAACAACAGAATGCAAGTGCCAGGCAACATATCGTTTGTTTAGGAAATCAACAGATATTTATCGATTTTCATGTACATTATTGTAGATTATTGTGAGCAGACAAACACAGTCTTCTGATTGGTGGTTTCTCGTTGAACGTTAATCTTTCATCTCTTTGTGGCTGTTTCTTGAATGTCACATCATCTATATGCTAACTGTATCCGCCTACGCAGTCTTTGTTCTTATTTTCCTCATGACCAATATTGGGGACGTACACATTGACGTAAATTACTATCTACCAATTTTGGCTAGCAGCCAGCCCTCACCAGACTACTACTACTTTGGGACTCTGGGGCAGTATACAGCTGTGATCCTCTTCCTCCCCCGTATGTCGAGCCGAGAACCTTTATGTTATGAGTTGAGTACCCATTGACTTCAATCAGCGACTGGGGTAGGTGAAGTGTCCTAAACTAGAATGTGAAGTAAAGAAAGAATGGACATATTTTTTGCATGATAATGTGGATAGAGCTGGTTTTATTTCGTCGGTTCTCTTTAACTGCCTACATCCTAAACCGAAATCAAATTATAAGTTTCAATTCATGGATAATCCCCATCCAGGCAATAATGAAAACAAAACACGTAGTTCAGCGAAGAGTCTCTTTTCGGCGGCGAATTCATTTTCGTAGCTGTACAATCGCAAATACATATGTGTTATTTTGTATGTATGTGTACATTAACTTTGTCAAACAAAATAAAATTGGTTATAGTTATTTTAACTAAACAGGTGAAGATTGGTAATTGGAGTTACGTAACACAAAATCAGTCAAGAAAATTAGGTGTTAATGAAATTAGGGTAGTAACAAAGGTGATGAGTTGTCACAAGCAGTTGTTAAAAGAAGTTATGTAATAATATGAATAGTTTGATGAGTGAGTTTTACTCAGCATACACATAGGAACAAAGTAGAGAATACGAAATTACGTAAGAGTTCTAAATGAATACAATAATAATAAGCAATTAAGGAACAGGCAAAGAAACAAAATTAAGTCATCAAAATCAAAAAATCAAATCAAAAGAGTTGTTACCAACCAGTAGAAGTGGTTGAGTAATTTTCTTTTGTATGCGCAGCTCCAGTTTTTCTATGTGAATGGCCAGAGCTTCAGCGATGCAAAGAAGACGAAACCGTATTGCCTTTGGTAGGTTATTCTTGACGCTGTAGATTACTTTCAAGCAGGAGGCGTTTGTTGTTGAGATGGAATGATCAGTGTTAACCAGGTGTTCAATTATCGCACTCCTTATATCATCACTATTGCCTTTTCACAACCATCCTGGATAGTGTTCTTGAACCCTCTTGGACAGGGTGCGCGTCGAACGACCGATGTACCTGGCTCCACAGCAGCAAGTGAACTGATATATGAACATAGAAGTGGCCAGATGCGGGATCTTGTCCTTGAGGCTTTTGCAGATCAGTGAGTGACTGGAGAACACTATTCTTAGCGTTGCTGCAAAGAATGTTCTTCTCCTCTGAGATGATGTGATCCTTCTCTTGAGAATATCGCTTGCTAAATCTCCCTTGAAATCCAAGTTCATGTAGAGTTTCTTTTTAGGCGCAATTAAAGTTTCGTTTCTCTGAATTCTTGGTTTGATACTTTTGTCAATGAATCTTATCGGCTATCCATTTTGGTTGAAGATTTCTCTTAGAATATCTAATTCTGTTTCCAGAACGTCAGGACTACAGATGCATCGGATGTGGGTGGCAAGTGATTTAATTAAATTCCGCTTTTGTTGATTGGGGGTACCCAGCTATAGAAGCTTGTTTATTTTATTTTTTATTTTTATTTACAGCTTGATTCCACACCGTATTTTCAGTACAAGTGTGGAATTTTCAGCATGGATATCGGTAGCCCAAATTCAGGCCGACCATAGATATCGGGTGTGCGCCGGCAGGGGATCGAACCCCGGACCATGTGCATGGTCGGCGAGAGTCCTAACCACTGTGCCACCGACGCATAGTTGACCATTCCAAGTAGATTTTCTATGGATCGATCTTCTTAGGCTCCCATCAGTTCTTCTTGTTAGTTCCACATCAAGAAACGGAATTTTTGACTCGTTTTCCATTTCAAGAGTGAATTTTATTACTGGATGGTAACAGTTAAATGTCTTCAGTAGTAATAGACTGGGCTCATTGTTGTTGGTCACAGCTTCGTGGCAAGCCTCGAGAAAGGTCCACTAAAGCCGAACATTGACAGTTTGCAACTGTATAAAAGATACGTAGACAACATACTCATTTGACCATTCAGCCACTGGGACTCAACCCAAAGTTCCATTGATTCCAATTCCATGACACTGATGTGTATCACAAATTGGCGGAAGTTGGAACGACAGAGTGAATTTATACACCTTATGATGGAGAGGTCAGGACGGTGGGTGTGAATAGTAAAGTAAAATTATAACATAGATAAATAAAACAATTAAGTAGATATAGAAACTTAATAGTGAGTTCAACTCAGTAATTGAAAGTCAAAATTGAGTGAAGTGTTACACAACAGAACAGAAGTAATACAGTTACCAGAGTAGTGACAGATTAATCACGCCATCTTTCTCTATACTGAGGTTGGGTTGCCGTTCTTTTTTCAATAGCAATGGCTTCTACAAACCTAAGTAACCATAGTTTTCACTGTGTATTGTGATTATTTTGAAAGCGTGGCTAATTTCCACTGTATGTCCCTTGTCAAATTGGGTGTATCTGGCAATTTGCAATTGACAACACTTTGCTGTATTCCATACGGAGATTTCTAGGGATAATGCTCAGAGAATCTTGTATACCCTCTCCTTCTCCTCCTCTCGGTCGAAACGGTTGTAATAGAAAAAATTTTTTTTATTATAGCTTGATTCCACACCGTATTTTTGGTACAAGTATAGAATTTTTAGCATGTGATATCGGTAGTCCAAATTTCGCAGGCCGACCATTGATATCAGGTGTGTGTCGGCAGGGTATCGAACCCCGGACTATGTGCATGGCCGGCGAGAGTCCTAACCGCTGTGCCACCGACGCACAATATATCCAAAGCATGTGAATCCATCCTTCTGAATGTTTTATTTCAACTATGAATATTTTCTTACTTAAGAACAACTACTCTTTCAAGTAGGATCTTTCCATCATTCTTATCTGTTCGGCGGGTTCTTATCCCATTCCATCTACTTCAGAATTAGTGAATGCGTCAACCACACATATAACAAGTGTGGCTCATAGTTTGGTAAATGACAAATCTACCCCATAACATGCGCATAATTATATGTTAAGTTCTAGTTGAACAGTCGTAATTCCTTCTGTTATAACGGAATATTACTGGGTTGTAAGCCCGCCTAACTTGACTAGGATGTTCCTCCAGAACATACGACACTATAATCAATTGATCAATTGAAAAAATATCTCTCCCACACCTGAGACAGACACACAAGTCAGATTGGGAAAAATGACGACATTGGCGACAATACATGGTATATTATATTTACAAAACCTCAGAAATTTAAGCCATAAATAAACTAATCAAAACTGTTCAATGCGGTGTTACCATGTTAGTACATCACGCATTAATCACGACTTGATGGTTAACAAGAAAAGTTGGGCCAACCTAATATCCCCATATCTGGTGTTAATTGGTTTTTTAACGCTGTTGGAGAATAAAGAACATTAATGCACTGATAAATGATTGTCATTGTGTCATATCAAATTTGATGAGCCCCTAATTAGTATATAGTGTAAAACGGCATTCATTCCCGGAGATAAAAATCTAAAAAAATATCTCTTGATTTTCTCAATAAACGATCTGTCGCCCGTCCCCTTGTCTTCTGTCGTTACAAAAGGACATGAAATATTAAAGATTTTGTCTTCAGATTGGTTTAATAATATATTTCTTATGTACATTATTTTCAGCAGAGAAGCAACGTCTTCTGATTGGTTGTTTTCTTGCTGAAGGTTATTCTGAACTGCTTGTGACAGTTTGTCAGAAAGTTAAGCCATATATATATATATATATCTGCGAATCCCATTTGTACACGCTAAGTCTGCTGTGATTGGTTGGCGAGTCCTTCAAGGTTAAGCCTTATTATTGTTTTTTTTCTCATGACCTGGATTCGGGGCGTGAACGTTGACGTAAACTGTTGTCTACAATTTTTGGCTAGCAGCCAGCTCTCACCACACTTTTTCCTCCTCTTGTTGTAAAACAAAGAATAAAATTTTCAAGTATTGGTTTTGTAGGGATTTAGTTTGATTGCATGGAGGATTTCATCATGAGCTGACGTCAGTTAGAGAACCACTAGAAAACCACCAGGGAGTACTAGACAGCTGTTCCTCCCTACTAGTTTGGAACTCTTCAGCAGTACGCACCCACCGACACGGTTCGAACCCAGGACCCTCTGGTTACAAGGCTAGCTCATAGACCATTGAGCTGGGACCTGCTGTACCCTACTGGTCACAGCTTCCCACTAGAACCCCAGGTCACTGCCTGAATAGGTTTGAAGATGAGGTAGTAACTCGTCGAAGAAGACATTGAGAAATAGTCGCGCTATGTCGTGAATTGGCAAAAGTTAGAATTCATGGGCCGGCCACTGGATCGGGTCCCAGTGGCTCAATGGTCCACGAGCTCGCCTTGTAACCAGAAGGTCCTGGGTTCGAACTCCTGTGGTGGTGGGTACGTACTGACGAGGAGTCCCAAACTAGGACGAAACAGCTGTCCACTACTTTCTGGTGATTTTCCAGTGGTTCTCTAACTGATGTCATTCAGCTCATGATGAAATCCTCCATCCAATAAAATTTTCAGCGAAGAGTCACTTTTCCGCGGCGAATTCATTCATCACTTAGCTGTGCAATCGCATTTATGCCTATATTTTTTTCGTGTGTGTGTGTACATTAGGATTGTCAAACAAAAATAAAAAAACAGTTCGAGTTACTGTTTACATCATCAAAATGTTTCAAAAAATGTGATGAATAATCAATTTGTAACTAGAATGGGGGGGAGGGAGTGAAGATTGGTAAGTATTGACAAGAGTTACGTAATATGAATGACACTCAGAAAAATAGGATGGCGGCAAGTGTCCAAAATAAATTATGCAACAGGTAGAAAGGGTAAATAAAAGGGTTCATTGAGAAAAAGATGTTACTAAAATTTCATGCAAAAATTCAGAAAGAAACATCATTAACAAAGTGGTAGAACTTAGAATTGTATCCAAAGTAGAAGGAGGGGGTAGAGAAGTTTCTTCTATGTGTGCATAAATCATGGTTTTCTATCCGGATCGCTGAGACCTCAGCAATGCAAAGTATTATACGGAAGCTTACCGTTTTCAACGGGAGGCTTCTTTTGACCTTATAGATGACTTGGAAGGAATTCTCCCCACATATTGAGTGACCAGTGTTAAATATATGTGTTCAATTATACCACTCCTTATTGATCCACTGTTAATTTTTTCGTAGCCAAGCGGGACAATATTCTTTGAATCTTTTAGATAAAACACGACCTATCTATTACGCTTGCTCCACAATAGCAAGTCATTTGGTAGATACATATAGAAGTGGTCGAATGCGATAGTTTATCTTTAGAGTTGTTGAAGAACAATGGGCGGCTTGATAATACCAATCGTAATTTAACAGCAGCAGCAGAGAATGTTCTTTTCAGGGCGTTAGATATTCTTCTCTTTAGGATGTCGGCCAGAAGGTCTCCTTTGAATGCTGCATTCATGTATAGCATCTTCTTTGTCAGAGTGATGCGTTGTTCTTTGTTGACTTTTGGCTTTATGTTTTTATCTATAAAGCGTGAGTGGTAGCCATTGTCAAGTAGTGTCTTCCTCAAAAAGTGATCTCTTCTTCTACTGATTCGGGGCTGCACATTCTACGGATTCCAGGTTCCGCTTGTGATTGATAGGTACCCAACTGTAAAAGTTTGTCAGCTGACCGTTCCACGTAGGCTTTCGATATATTGATCTCTTCAGAGTCCCATCAGTCTTCTTAGTTAGTTGGATATTCAGAAATGAGATTGTCTCTCCGGTTCCTACTTCGGTTGTAAATCGAATGGCTGGATGGCAGCTATTAAAAAACCTGGAGGACATTATTTAGATCACATTTGTTATCACAGATGATAAAAGTTCTTTTACCTTGGGTGTGTAGGTATTCCAATATTCAAGTTATTGTCTTCCGAGTACTTGTATAAGGAACAAATTGTCTCCGTAATTGAGACATTTGTGAAGAGAGAGATTCGACATCGAGTGATATATCATGCAATTGTCGCCCACTTTCACATCTTTGATACAGTCGACAAATTCAAATGTGTCTCGAAGAGAGTATTTTGAAATTTGTTCTCTAACAGGCTGTAGGAGTTCTGCCAGCCATTTTGCAATTGGATAGTATAGAGATCCGGACATGTCCAAAATAGGACTGAATGGCAGTCCTGTTTGTAAGTTTTGGTAATCCATATAGTTGGGGTATTATCGTCTCAGTTGGTTGAGTCATTCTCTCTGTGTTCTTTAGTCAATAGACTATCGCACTTAGGCTTTGTGTATATCTCTCAGTCTTGTAGCATAATTCGCAGATTGCACCTCAAGGTGTTCAGAAGACAGCATTTTGTCAGCGTCTTCACTTACGAGAGATGACTATATCATCTGCATATTCTAAGTCAAAGATATTATTCCCTGGCGGTGACAAGTCAATCCCTGAGTCGCTTGAGTGAGTTATAGTTAAGTCCATTAGTACATAACTCCATAATGGATAAGATTTTATTTTGATAAATCACACAGTGTTGTTATACAGTAATATTAACTGATGACGTTTCGAGCACAAACTATTGCTCATAATCATATCAAAGCACTACTCACACAACTTTTTTCCTTCATTTATATACATGTGTGGAATCGATTAGATACTGGAATAAAATTCAATATGATTTAATGTACATTCAGAAATAATAATACGAGTGTTATTGATCCATTACAATTAGATGGGAAATACGACGAGTGTTTTTATAGTCATAATAAGTTACTTCTTGGAATGTTGTGTTGTGCTTGAATTGAAATAGAATATTAAGATTATTTATTATCCTCTTCTGATTTGACCGGCGGTAATAATATCTTCCATATTTCTGGTATTTGCATTGAGTCATTTCTGTTGCATGTGTTGTGTGTAGACTCAATGAACAAGGATTCCGTAATCAACCTCTCTCTCCACCTACCTGTGTTACTCTTTAGAATTTTAACCCTATCCCACCCACTCTATTGTGTGGTTGTTTGTTAATGGGTGAAGGGCAATAGCTGAGCTTTTTTCTAAATTACTTATCTTTTCAGGGTTAACCATTCTTCTCTTAGCTAAATTCTTATGTTCTGATAATCTGACTACCCCCGATCTGCTAGTCTGACCCATGTAATTGACTTCACAGTCATTGCAGGGTATTTTGTAGGTGGAGAGAGAGGTTGATTACGGAATCCTTGTTCATTGAGTCTACACCCAACACATGCAACACAAATGACTCAATGCAAATACCAGAAATATGAAAGATATTATTACCGCCGGTCAAATCAGAAGAGAATAATAAATAATCTTAAATTGTATTCTATTTCTATTCACGTTCATCATAACATTCTAACAAGTTACGTATTTATTTTGACTATAAAAACACTCGTCTTATTTCCCATCTAATTGTAATGGATTAATAACACTCGTACTATTATTTCTGAATGTACATTATCTCATATTGAATTTTATTCCAGTATCTAATCGATTCCACACATGTATATAAATGAAGGAAAAAAGTTGTGTGAGTAACTTGATATGATTATGAGTGGCAATAGTTTGTGCTCGAAACGTCATCAGTTAATATAACTTTACAACACTGTGTGATTTATCAAAATAAAATCTTAACCATTATGGAGTTATACTCTACCACAGTGCCCAAGTTTTATACTTATACCATTAGTACATCTATGATGAAATTGAATAGAAATGGGCATAATGGGCATCCCTGATGGAAACCACTAGTTGTCACCACTTCACATGACAACTAGCCGTAAGCTCTCACCTGGCTGACTGGATGAGTTCGAGTAGGGCGAGTGCTTTGATCAGTGCAATATATTTTCTCGGCATTCCTTTCACAGCCAAACATCGCCAAAGTATCTCTCGGTCGACAGAATCGAATGACGCCTTTATGTCAAGAAATATAACGATTGTTGGACGCCATCTATGTTCCAGAATCTGTCGAAGGGTGAAGATATTATCAATACACCCTCTTCCTGGTTTAAAGCCCTCCTAGTTCCCTCGTGTTTGTTCCTCCGCATTAGTATTGAGCCTAGAAATTTAGATACCACCATATTAGTCAAGCTAATACCCCTGTGATTATCACAGGAAGACTTGTCTCCCTTCTTGTATATCGACATAATCAATGACTTACACCAACCCGACGGGACTTCCTCTGTTTCCCAGACGCTGCCTATTACCTTAGTTAGTGCAGACAGTAAACTGTTTCCACCGTACTCAACTACCTCTGGAGTCATTCCATCAGGTCCCGCAGCTTCGCCTCGTTTCAGCCTAGCGGCAGCCTTAGTAATCTCAGTTGGGGATGGAGGACCTCTGTCAACATCCCATTCAAGGAGATATTAGTTGTTCGCTAAGTAGATCATCACAGTAATGCGGTTAGCTGAAGTTCACAGCTCATTACTCAAAGTTGAATTATTATTCGCCTTAATGCTTCACTGCTACTACTACAGCACTAATTGTATCTTTTTTTCTGGTTGTTCTATTTTTTTTTCCACAGTTTCCCAACCGTACAGTCAATGAATTGATTCTTTTCTATTACTTGAATAAACGAAATGAACAAACATTGCATGAAATGGGTTTAGGCGGATCTAAATGGTCTTGTCTACAAAAACTTGGTTATTTACTGCCTGGTATTTCATCACATATGAACAATAATAATAATAATAATGCTAATCAGGTTAGTTTCATCTACACTGATGATTTCTATGTGTTGTACCTCGTTAATTTATTATTCTTGATTGTGTATATTATTACTCTACTCACTGGGTGACGCGGGTTCGAGTCTCAAAAGGAATATGAGTTCCTTCAAGGTTGCAGATACGCCTTGCTGACTGATGAGTGCTAACTAGCACGAAGCCTAGGTCCAAGACCTCCTGTGACTGGTTGCCTCCAACCATCTAATATCATCGAATTTGATCAGTCTAAAACCAGGAGGGTAAAACAACTGTCTAGCAGTACTCTCTGCTTGTTTTCAAATGATTCTCTCATTGATATCAATCTATAAACGAAATCTCAGTATGTTTGGCATGCAATTCACTCCCATCAAATGTAAGATGATACCACAGGAGTGGTTTGCACGGATTCCTCGTTTAAAACACAAACTTTGCATATTATGAGCACCATGAAATGCGCCACACAGAATCGCACAGTTTGTGGGAGATACTGTCCTGCCATCTAGATCGCGGCACGTTGTTGTCTTAAGGAGACGAACCCTCTGAACTCTTGACCTGAAGTCTGATTCACTGACTGACTGACTGGTTTCAACATCTACACCTCCCTACATGCCTGGCTTAAACGAACTTTCGTGGACTTCATTGACTGTTGAAGTTATGTTTTCGTCTGACTACCACATGCTATCTCTTTTCCAGCCTGATCCATTGTATGTCAGCAGCCAACATTGATCTTCGAGGAAGGCAATCGATAGCTAGGAATGCATGCGTAACAGATATCTTAAGCATCGTCTTAATCGATGTCACTTCATAACCCCGTCGACTGATTTTCCCCCCTTACCTAACACTCGACCGATGCCTAACCTCAATATTGCTCACCTTATTATACCACCACCTAACATCGAAGATAGAATGCAGGCCTTTTCATATCTTCCACTCTCAATGGCCATATCTCATTCATAGCCATAAAGGAGGACGGAGAGAACTGCTATTGCTGTTAAGCAGTACACATGTCCTTTGGTCGATAGCCAGCCAACCAGATACCACGTCTACTAAGCCAGAGGTGGCGTAAGTTGGCAAATGTCATGCTGAGATTGCGTAAGTCATCAACCTCTTGGAGCTAATGCAACTTCCTAAAATAAGTGAAGTGGTCAACATGCTCTACCACATGTCTGATTCACAGAGTGTTGTGCAGCAAGGTCCACCCACATGGTTTTCCGTGGCCAAAACCATGTTCATATATCATTCGATCCAGTTGGAACCAGAGTTTTCCAACTCCCCTAGGTAAAGCTGCATGTTGACCGATCCGGTTGTAAGCCCCAGGACGCCCACATTCGCCGCCCCCCACCACCACCTTTATGAGGGACACCTAGGCCACGTGACGGCAGTGCATACAACCTACTTAGCAGAGGCTATGCACGTGTGGTCACATGGGAGCATGTGGAGAGGAAGATCGAAGTAAGCCCACTCTTGGGTCAGTTTAAAGGGAGTGAAGTAGTTAAGTGTGCTAACTACTTCACTTAATTAGGAAGTTGCGTCAACCTTAATGGAGTGATTGTTGATGTTGCTTGGATTTCTAGTAAAAACATTGTGACCACTGGGGTCTACCCAACACTTGCCACAGGCGACATTGGCTGGTGTCAGTTGAGCTAAAATTACGAATATATATGGAGTATTCAAGTCAAGCTTTCATTACTTTCAATTCTGTGTGGAGGAGATCAACAGCAGTCAGCATGGAAAACTTCAATGTGAAGACAGTGCTACTTGCTATACGAATCAGAGACTTGGCGCCGCGTCGCGTCACGAAGGCCACTTTGAAGAAACTACAGACATTCATCAACAGCTGTGTTCGCTCAATACTACTCAAGATCAGATGGACGACCAGAAAAGACCAGTAACAGGGATTTCTGGGAGCGAACCAATCCAGCAGGAACTGATTGTGCAACAAATATGCAGGAAGAAATGGAGGTGGATTGCTGGCCATACTTTAAGAAAAGAAATCATCAAGTGACACCACTAGACAAGCCATCGCTTGAGTGGAACCCGAACGGGAAGCGGTGAGTTGGTCGTCAGTGCGACGGTAAAATGGAGTGGAGGAGGTCATGTGAAGAGGAGATGAAAGCATCTGGGGAGACGTGTATTATTATTATTATTGTTCCCTTGGGTTCCCAGTGGAACATAGGGCTTCAACTGCACGCCTCCACTTGCTTCTGTCCTCTGCTGTACTTTTCACCTGCATCCATGTTAGTCCATACTGTTTCAACTCTTCTTCACACGATCTCCTCCATGTCACCCTTGGATGTCCCACTCGCCGCTTCCCTTTCGGGTTCCACTCGAGCACTGGCCTGACGCGTGATGTCACCCACTGGCCTCCTCAGCGAGTGTCCAATCCATCTCCACTTTCTCCTGCATATTTGTTGAGCGATTGGTTCCTGTTTTGTTTGTTCCCATAGCTTCTTGTTTTTGATTCTTTCCGGCCATCTGATGTTGAGTATAGAGCGAAGACAGTTGTTGATAAAGGTTTGCAACAGGCTGTTGGATATATTCTTTGTGACCCGCCAAGTTTCTGATCCGTATAGCAAAACTGACTTGACGTTTGTATTGAAAATCCGAATTTTGTTATTGATGCTGAGTGGGGAGACGTGAAGGTAGGTGAAAACGTTGACGGAGGACCGAATGCAATGGACCCCTGTGGCTGAAGCCCAATGTTCCTCTAGGAACTAAAGGAAACAATAATAATGTAGTATCACCCGTCTGTCCAAGTAGCTCGTCCGAAATCAAATGGTTTCAACTAATTCGGCTCATTGAGCGCTGAGTCTAACCGACTATATATCGATGATGAGTTGGACTCCTCAGACAAGCGAAACGGCCGTCGGATGGCTAGATGACTTCTATCTAGCTGGCCAACAAGTCCTACTCACTTGTTGATATAAGTAACATGCCAACTACTCATATCGTATTTGTCCTCACACCCGACCTGCTTCACCTTACTGGTCACGACTTCTCACTAGAACCCCTACTTACCTGAATAAGGCCAATCGCTAGTGACCATCTCATTGATATTCTAGTATTGGTTTGTAGGGTTTTCATTGATTGGTTACAGGATTTCATCATGAGCTGACATTGGTTAGAGAACCATTGGAAAACCAACTGCAAGTACTGGACATCTGCTTCCTCCTCCTAGTGTGGGGCGGAGTTCTCTAGCCAATGCATCTTTTATTCTCTCCAGGATAACTCGACTTAGTATTTTACTTGGCGTGGGTGGACAAGAGCATGATTCCACGCCAGTCAGTTCTTGCAAAGTTGTAGGTCGCCCTTCATTGTTAGCTTGACAAGGTAGCCAGCCTTTCTTCCAATCAGTAGGTACCTTTCCTTCTTTCCAAACCTTTTGCAATAATGGTGTGAGAACATCTGCTGCAGTTTCTGGCTCCCTTTATCAGTGCTTCGGGAGGTCAAATACATAGGTGAAAGTAGTACGGTAGGGTTAATGAGACTAGTGGAGTAAAAAAACTTGGTAAAATCTAAATTAGTAAACCGTAATAAAATGAAAAAAACAGCAGAAGCAACATCCAGCGCCAATCACCATCAACGGGAGGGATTGAAAAGAGGTTACTGCATTCACTTATCTAGGGAGCATTGTCTCAACTACAGGAGGAACAGACGAGGATGTCAAATCGAGAATCAGGAAGGCAAGAAACACATTCATCAACCTGAAACCAATCTGGAAATCTTCGTCACTCAGCCTGCATCAACAACAAAATTCGGATTTTCAATACAAACGTCAAGTCAGTTCTTCTATACGGATCAGAAACAGAAACTTGGCGGGTCACAAAGAATATTTCCAACAGCCTGTTGCAGACCTTTATCAACCACAACTGTCTTCGCTCTATACTGAAGATCAGATGGCCGGAAAGAATCACCAACAAGAAACTATGGGAACAAACGAAACAAGAACCAATCGCCCAACAAATATGCAGGAGAAAGTGGAGATGGATTGGACACTCACTGGCTGAGGAGGCCGCTGGGTGACATCGCGCGTCAGGCCAGTGCTCGAGTGGAACCCGAAAGGGAAGCGGCGAGTAGTGGGACGTCCAAGGGTGACATGGAGGATATCGTGTGAAGAGGAGTTGAAACAGTATGGATTAACATGGATGCAGGTGTGAAAAGTACAGCAGAAGACAGAAGCAAGTGGAGACGTGTAGTTGAAGCTATATGTTCCACTAGGAACCCAAGGGAACAATAATAATACAATAATAATAAAATGAAAAAACAAGACAGGTAGTCCAACGAAGAGGAGGGGGCTCTTTTTTCGTCAAATTCATTCTCCCCTTCACCTCTAAAATCACATTTATATAAACAATCTACTTTTCGTGAAAGAGACTAGTAATGAAAGTAATGAGCGGTAGTCACAAGCATAGTTGTTAATATTAGTCAGTGCATGAGACCAGTTGATTAAGTGTATTTTAGAGTTACGTAATAAGATGAGTAATTCAATGAATGAGTTGTATTCAGGCCGCAACATAGAAATGAAGAAAAATATGGAATTATGTAAGAAATGCAAGAGTTATAAGAAGTTAGACAAGCGAACAAGAAACAAACAAAAATAGAGAGAAGACCAGTAGTCCAACAAAGGAAAAGGAGGAGTCTCTTTTCGGCGGCGAATTCATTTTTTCTTAGCTGTACAATCGCAAATATATATATGTGTTATTTTGTATGTATGTGTACATTAAGTTTGTCAAACAAAAATAGACAATTGATTATGGTTATTTTAACTAAACAGGTGAGAGTTAGTATAGTAAGTTCTGGGTGGAGTTACGTCCTACAAAAAATATTCAGAGGAATTGGATTTTGATACTGGAGGGTAGTGTTAACAAAATTGACGATTAGTCACAAACGATTGTTAAAGAAGAGTTACGTAATACCACATGAATAGTTTGATGAAAGAGTTGTGCTCAGGGTGAACATGAAACAAAATACAAAATGAGGAGTTCTGTAAGAGTTTGAAAGG